GGTAAGTGAAATGTATTATATTTAATGAAAATAATGACAATCCTTGTGAAATCCACAATAATTATATTAAATTGAGCATAGTGTTTCATCCCATGATACTTTTTTTTAGGAATTAAGAAAATTTAATTTCTGCCAGGCATATTAGTTGTGCATAATTAGCAATTTACCTGGGGTGGTGCATGGTCATTTTCTTGTAAAATATTATACTTAGACAAATTTTTCCTTCCATTAACAACCCCTAAAACCAACCCTTCTGAACACTATAGACACTTCAGAAAGGCTATTGCTTTTCCTTTTCGAAAGTTAGAGCTATGTCGACTTTCAGGAAAGTTAGAGATATGCAGGACTTTCGTCCTGGATTCAGGTTTTGGCACATATTCCATGTTGACCGCCATGGTCATTTTACCCTAAAACAGTTGAAATTACCTGTCCTAAATAAAACGCATACAAACCCATATACAGGCCCTAGACTACTAAAAATATCACTTTTAATTACAAAATAATCAATTTCGCAAACATGTATATGTTAGGTATACTATTATACATTTATACGTTATTATACGTAATATATAAGCTTCAATTTAATGTAAAATTCAACCACAAACGCTTCGCAGAACGTTTTAAAATGTTCTTAAAACTGAACTGCCTTTTATCGATAACTAAAATTCTCACATGCAAATAACTAGTTTGCTTTCTTCCTCCCTTATTTAAAAATTTTAATATAATGAGAAAGAGTAATCAATAAATATACACTTAGTCCGTGTGTTGTGACCTCGAAAAGTGCCTAGAAAACGATTTTCATTAAGTATGTCTTAGATCTGAAATTTTTTACGGGAACTAACACCTTCGAACACGCTGAGTTCAAATCCGAAAAGTTCCCACTCCGTAGACCCGCAGTTTTATTTTATCTTAACTATTTTCACAGTAATTTTTCATTGTTCAACGACACGGATCGATGACGATACACGATTATGTCACTCAAAAGGACCAATTTCTATTAACCATTCTTCCTTTTAACAAAAGACCGGTTTCGCTCGAGTCATTTTGAGTTATGCAATCTTATGCGTGTTGGACGTAAACAACATATCTTGTCTACAACTTTGAGAAGGTACAGATAATTCCTTCTAATATCCTTAGTTCTGGATCTATCTTTGTAATGTTTACAACATGAGCGGCCGTGTTGTATCAGATATACAAACTCGAGCCGAAGGCGAGAGTTTGTATATCTGATACAACACGGACGCGAATGTTGTAAACAACTTAAAACGACTCATCTTATGAGTTCATTGGCGAAGTAATTTTAAAAATAAACGTTGTCTAAGCCGAGAAAATCAAAGTTAAAGTTTATGTAAATCAACATGAATCCGTATCACAAAAACAGATACGACACGCTTATGATTTTTCTTTGTGTTTTCTCATGAATTATTAATGAGTTTTTTAAATGAAATTACACGGGTGTTAAGTCTTTGGGCTATGTCGCTGGGCTGAGAAATAATTGCTTACATGCGATCAAAATGTTTTATACAACAATTTAAAACGGCTATCTATATGTAATGGATCAGCATTTAAATTTCCAACACAGTTTCTGAGATGTAATTCAACAGATAACTTATCATTGCATTTGCATCAGTTGGTGTTATACTGTGTGCGATAAGCGAATATTATTGGAAAGAGGGCTTCCATATACGTTGAAATCACCAAATAAACAGCTCATGCACACATTTCTCCACTTCCTCGTAAGTTTACAGAGCATATTTTATACTTTGGGTCAGATCTTTGTCTTTGAGGTAAACATTTATTCTTATAGTTTCAGGTTATGTAAGATTGATCCTGTCCTAAGTGTTCTATACCAGCATCCAATCGACAATATTTCATTTTAGCGTTATCTTTGCCGTCACGTTGGCTTCGTGTTACTTTTGTTTTAAATACCTTGATCGCGTTAAAAGAGTTATTTCTATATTAGAGTTATTTTTATTCAGGCCAATGACATAGCCAAAAGACTTCGCATTAATGTCCTTGTGATTTTATAGAGATATCTCTAGAACTGAGGATTTTAGAAAGCGTTATCTGTACTTTCTCAAAGTTGTAGACAAGGTCAATGTTGTTTACGTCCAACACGCATAGGATTGCATAACTCAAAAGGATTCGAGCAAAACCTGTCTTTTGTTAAAAGGAACTGAATGGTTAATAGAAATTGGTCCTTTTGAGTGACATAATCGTGTATCGTCATCGATCGTGTCGTTGAACAATGAAAAATTCCTGTCGTGAAATTATTAAAGATAAAATAGCATTTTGTGAGAAAACTGCGGGTCTACGGGGTGGAAACTTTTCGGATTTGAACTCAGCGTACTTGAAAGTGTTAGTTCCCGTCAAAATATTTCAGATCTAATACATGCTTAATGAAAGTGAACGATATCGGGTCACAACACACGGACTAACTGAAATTTCTCATTGTACGCAAGGATCAGTTTTTAAAGCAATTTTAAAAGCAAACAATGCTTCAATAATTAAAACAACCTTACCTTCATTGACGTCGGCGTCTTTGCTCCCTTCTTTTAACAAATCTTTGAGCTTTTTTTCTCAAAAACTTTTGAAATTTACAAAATCTTGCAAAAATGAAATATATTTGCAAGACATCTTTGTTATTTCGCTGTCGTCATGCAGTCGTTAGAATGCAAATTTTAAATTTGACCAATCAGTGTTCGCTATTGATGACAGTCCGCCATATTTTTGAGATCAGTGACGATGACCACCCATGAACGGTTAACCATAGCCACGATTATTGGCGAGCTTCAGACTCGCTAATGTTTTCCTTTCCCCGGGGGTAAATAGCCGTGCGGAATGGACCTATTCCCTAATGAACAAAATTTTCATCTAGACAAGTCTAGACAAACATTTCACCACAGCTTGAAAGAGCATCACAAAATGAGTAGTATTCCGAAGTTTCGTTGCGAAATATTGTAAAATGCGGATAATATAGCCCTGCGAAGTTTGCCGTTTTTCAGTCAGAGAAAAGAAAGCGGTATCAATTTCCCGTGCGTAATACAAAATGTGAAAAACGGCAAACTTCGCAGGTTTATATTATCCGCATTTTACAACATTTCGCAACGAAACTTCGGAATACTACTAATTTTGTGATGCTCTTTCAAGGTGTGGTGAAATGTTTGTCTAGGAACGTAAGCATGTCAACTTTTTCTGGTTTTAATTAATGTGCTCGAGATGGAGTACTGACCTGTCCTGCCTATAATCGTTCTGATGGAGAACTGCTAGCCTGGATCGCAAAATACTTTCGGGCAAGCTGACAGAGCAATGGGAATAGATCCATTAGTACCATCGCCCGGGGCTTACGCACGGAACGGCGCTCCGCGCCCTTGTCTCGGGGACAATACCGCATATTATCGTACACCAAGAAAAAAATAAAAACGAGCAGCGGAATACACGTTTGCTTTAGAGAAAATAAATCACAGAGTAGTTGAGAATTTTGTTGTTGCCATAAAATAGAATGGTGCATGATTTATTCCAGAGCGCCTCCGCGCGGTGTGAAAATTTCAGTATTGCTGTGTGATTGCCTTGTTTTTTTTGCAAATACTGTGTGTGTCAATTCGAATGTTTCATTCACACATTTGTAGGTATTGTACATCCATCGCCAGCTGTAGTTTCCAGCCCATCAAATGATGATAAGTACCACAATCCAATCGACACAAAGGCTGGTGAATGTTTCAAGAACTACTTTGACGATATCCTGTTAATTATCGTTTACCATTATCCATTCTACGACACACTTCCTTTACTCATGTCGTTATATAAAGATGCATTTAAAAATATTGTGATTTGTGGTTCAAAGGACTATTCCGAGCACCCTATAATGGTGGTTGATATTGGCTCAGGACATTATGGTTATGAATGTGTTGGCGAGGCTATACGCAGGTACAGTACAGATCGCTTAGGAAATTACTTGTCAACATTATTTGGATGGGATGGACTGAACATAACTGCTCTTAGGAGGCTGTCTCTCTAAGAACCGACCAATGACTCTCGACTCAAAAATGAAATTCTTCGTTACTTTCACAATGAAATGTATTTACCCCAAGAACAAACAAACACTATTTGGAATTTTGAAATTTTATTAATTTTTAAAATTTCAGCGATTTTTCGGTCCCGCGCCGTCGGGCAGAAAATCCTCTGCCTATATCAGACATGAAAATTAGCCGAATTCAAATACATATAATTTTAATAGTATTCAACCGAATTTTATAATTTTTTCACCCACCAACAAGAAAATTATTCTACTTTGAAACTGGCCTTGTTTTATGATGCTTTTACAGAACGATTATGGCAAACGTTAGCGATAACCAGCACCAGATCTAAATATGGCTTTGTACGCATATCAAATTCGACTTCAAATTTCTCAAAAGTGGCACCTAACTGGATTCAGTGACTGATATGGTTAAAAAAAGGGAAGTTTGAAGTACCCATATCCATAATAAAACTTGTTACCAACCGCGATTTGAAGACTCGACAGCCTCTGAAATTTGATACAATTTGGCTATTTTGTTTAGCTTCAATTATAGCGGAGTTGAGACGTCGGAGCTTCCAGTCACTTGTAAAATGCCCTGTTGCTCCGTTTTTAGTGTGAAGTTTCACTTCACACTATTGTGATGGTTGGCAAATTCACACGAATCAGTCAGTCAGTCAAACAGTCAGTCAGTCATAGAGTAAACTTTCCGGGGGGTGTATACGATTTATGTTCGTAGTGATTTATTGTACTTAGTCAGTACTTTGAAGGTTATTTAGGCAATTTCAGTTAACTTATTTACATATTCTGTTATCCTTTTGTCAAGTTCACAAAAATTTCGAGGAGTCGCTTTCGTTATTGTAATTTTTTGTAAATTTTAGAACATTCGCTTCTCATCTCGTGTAAAGGATCTTTACCCCGGGACACCCGATTTTTTCTTTAGTAGCGCAAATGCGCATGCGCTATCAAGCCATAGATCACGATGGCTGCTGTTTTCAGATGTATAAACATTTCAGACGTGAATATTGAGTAAATTTTTGAAAATCTACGCAAAATACAAATTGATCTTATGCATTACGGGCGTTCAATTAAGTGCCGATAATATTTAGACGGTATATTCATTATACAGAGCTAGGAAGGAGCTAGATAGTGCAGTCAAGTGTATAAACATCAATTTCAGACGTAAATATTGAGTCGAAAATCTTTGAGATTCTAGACATTCAATTGAGTGCCGATATTATTTTCACGGCATACTCATTATACAGAAGTATATAAACATTTCGACATGCATATTGAGAAAATCTTTGAGATTCTACCCAATAATACAATATGTAAATTTATGTTATGCATTAACGGCATTCAAGTAAGTGCCCATCGATATTATTTAGACCGTGTATTCATTATACATTGTCATTGACCTCTGGTTATTGACTGTATAAGGTGCTACATCACAGAATAGATGGCTACACTCAGTACAAAGAGCGAAAAATTGCATCAGATCTGTATCAGATCAATAAAGCATAAACAACTATTAAACATAAGCGGGTAAACGTTTGTACGGCGTTTACGAAGAAAATAACTTGCGAGACTAAAGAAATCAGTTGAGTCAGAGCTCCTTATTTAAATAAGAAAGACGAGGAGATAGCCAATGTGTTATCGCCAACGTGTTATCGCCAATCGCTTGGCTCGCCAACAAGCTTTATGCAATAGGAGAAAAAAGCAAGGAGGTACATGTAGCCAACGTGTACCGTCACGGACCTTGTCTTTGACCTTTGTTTACTGTCTAGCACAACGCCGTTGTCAACGGTGCAAATTCGTGTACAGTTCAACGATAACTCTACCAGATCGTACGAGAATCAATCTGTAGTATTCTGTACACAGAACTGTATCAAAGCTTGTCAAAACTGCTTTAAATTAAACACTGGTTAACTGTGAAACTACTGAAATTTAAAGTGACATTTATATTCTAGCCCGCGTGCAGGCCCAAGGGAGCCGGCTCAAGGGAACTTGATAGTGGGCCTGCAAGCAAGGCCCGGTATTTTGTACTTTCCGCGTTCGCCCACGAACGCGGCATTCTGATTGGCTGTTTGCTGTTAGATTCTATAATTAGATAAGTGATTCATCACAAAGGCTCTCGATAAGCTTAAAATTCGAAAATTGATCACTTTTTTCGATTATAAATGGAACAAGAACAGACTGTTTATTGTTTACTTGAAGGAAGAGATGTTTTTGCCGTTATGCCAATGGGGATTGCTTGTCGTGAGGTGTTGGAAGAGCACTCATTACGACTGGGGTAAACTATAGTAACCTTTACTTAATTACTTGAGTTTCATTAATTTCAAGCAGACTTGATACGTTATATGTTCCTCAAGAAAATTATCTTTTGGTTGATGTTGAGATGCAGTTGCATGTAAGCCTATTCGAAACACTTTGCGATTTACAAGGCTTCGCTGAGAGAGCGAAACAGAAGACGGTATTAAATTGCCGTTTGAAACGAAACGATCTGGACTCTGAACGCTCTCTTCTTTTGTAGAGTTCTTTACCAAATGAAATAACTGAAATAAATTTCGTACTTTCCGCCGCCAACAAGAATTGCACACATGATCTGATAAGTGAGACAATTTATTTAATATAACAATGGCAACAGCGAAGCACACATTATAAATGCTAATGTGGTCGCACGACTTCCCTCACGATTTGAAGTTTGAGACTGGTTTTCTGTTGAAATTCGTCTTAATTTGCCTGTTCCGATTTTAGTTGAAAATGAGCACTTGCAAATTTGGCAATTACTGACTGCGTTGCTTGCTTTTTTGGAGTTATTAAACGCAGCCATTTACACATTGCTTATGTTCTCAATAAGCAGAGAAAACCCCGCAATATTTTAATGCGAGTTTGTTTGTTAATATTTGGGTGCTGTCATTGGTTCTTTTTTGACAATTGACGCGCGAATGGGGCGTGTTATAAAAAGGGGCGTTTTACAAAATACCGGGCCTTGCTTGCAGGCCCACTATCAGTTCCCTTGGGCCTGCATGCGGGCTATTTATATTCAACACATGCGAAAAGCTGAAAATAGACGTGACACTGGGAAAAGTCAAAGGTCAATGAGACTTGTTATTGTAAAACATGTCACAACCCGGTTAAAATGCGGAAGCGGATGAAGCGGATCCACGGAACGGATATGCGGATAAAATACGGAACGGATGAGGATAAAACGCGTCTTTTTAATGATGTAACGATGTAGTGCTTATTATTCATAACATATCTTATACAGCTATTTCAATTATAGTTTTAGATAAATTTGGCATAGCAGTAGCCTCGTGGGGGTGCTTTTAGCGACAGCTGCAAATCCAAATGAAAATTTAGAATATGCAAAATTTGGTTGTTGGTAAAACAATTTAAATTTCGAATTGTCGCGTCTAGCATCACAATAAGTAGATAAATTGCATCAGTTTCACAAGGGAAGTTTCTGATGTGTTAGGCTTGTTTCAAACGTCACGCTACTTGTGTGCCGAGCGTATTAAAAGCAATAAATAATGAGATGAAATGCCTTTGGTAACTGTTTATTTCGTAGTGTAAGTCATCAGCTTTTCTAGGTTGTCGGCCGCCCTATATAGTTCTTGCAGTGTCTTTTTCAATTTGAAACTTCACACTATTCTTGGATCCCTAGTTTTACACAAGCCGTTAATATCATCGTAGTTAAGCGGTTTTTCTGTTTTCATGAACATCACAAGTGGATTTAATTCGAAAAGATTTCGATCGATGCAGCGAGTTAAACGTGGTACGCTTTCGTATTAACATTAGCTACTCGGGGGAAACCCGGAAATTATTGTCGATGCTGATATTTATTAATCGAAACTCTGTATGTCTATTCTGCACGATTGGAAATGAATTTAAACTGGAAAAAAGACTTGATCTAGAAGACAACTATATAGATACTGATTATTATAAAAAGATGCAATCGTGCATGACAATTGAATTGGATTTGGATTATAGTTTGAATAAGGGTTTTGATTAGTGTTTCGACCAGGGCTTGGCTGAAATTTAATAGAAGAGTCATATATGGAATAGTCTCCAAATGACCCCCACCCCAACTCTATCCTGACCCCTACCCTACACCCACCCCACCTCTATTGTGATGTTATTGAGGACGTTTATATCAACATCACCTGGCATTTGTTTAAGGAGAGCTAATAAAGGGTGAAGTTTATTTTCATACAAGAGTTTTCAAATGACGTCACAAAAATGCGAGGTTGGGGTAGGGTTGGGTTTGGGGCAGAGTCGTACTGGGGGTGTGGGTAGGCCAGGGTATGTGGGGACTCTTATATAAAACGTCGGCCAGAATAATGGTAGAAACTGTTCACGATGTATTTAAAATGGGAAATGTTAATTAATGCGTAAATTACCCCTATAAGGTATAGTATCATGTGAAGATATAGTTGGGAATCGAAATTGTCAAATATATACTAATGTTTGGCATGTAGTAAAACACTGACTACCGGAACACCGGAACACCACCATTTTGTTTGGGGCTAGGGTTTGGGGTTAGGGTTAGGGTTAGGGTTGGGGGTTAGGGTTGGGGTTAGGGTTAGGTGGTGTTCCGGTGGTGTTCCGGTGGTGTTCCGGTGGTGTTCCGGTGGTGTTCCGGCGGTGTTCCGGTGGTGTTCCGGTTTTCCGGTAGTCAGTGTTTTACTACATGCCCTAATGCATTGCTGTGCATTACACGGAAGAGAAGCTATAAAAACAGGACAATTCGTCATGTTTCTGGTTTTCTGCTAATAAATGACAGTAATTGTTGCACGATGAAACTGTTTATAACGGGTAGTGCCAAAATTAGCAATGACTCTATTTTACCTCGCTTACCTCGCTGTAACGTTTACCTCGCTGCATCGAGCCAAATCTTTTCGAATTAAAACAACTTGTGATGTTCATGAACACGGAAAAATCGCTTAACGGCTTGTGCGAAAAAAAACCGGAACGACAGCGCATTTTACAAATGACTGGAAGCTCTGGCGTCTCAACTCCGCGATAATTGAAGGTAACAAATTTCAGTCGAGGCTCTGGAGTCTTCAAATCGCGGTTGGTAACAAGTTTTATAGTGGATATTGGTACTTCAAACTTCCCTTTTTTCGACCATATTAGTCACCGAATCCAGTTCGGAGCCACTTTTGAGAAATTTAAAGTCGAATTTGATATGTGTACAACGGTCTTATTTGGACTTGGTGCTTGTTATCGCTAAAGTTTGCCATAATAGTTTTGTAAAAGCATCATAAAATCAGGTAAGTTTCAAAGTTGAATAACTTTCACGTTCGTGGGCGAAAAATCATAAAATTTGGTTGAACACTTTTAAAATTATATGTATTTGCATTCGGCTAATTTTTATGCATACTTATAGACAGAGGATTCTGCGCGGCGGAAAATCGCTGAAATTTTATTATTTTAATTTAAAAATAAATAAAATTTCAAAATTCCAAACTGTGTTTGTTTATTCTTGGGATAAATACATTTCATTATGAAAGTAACGAAGAATTTAATTTTTTTAGCCTAGAGCCATTGGTCGGTTCTTAGAAAGATAGCCTCTTAAATTCATTTCCAATCGTGCAGAATAGACATACATAGTTTACATGAATAAATATCAGCATTGACAATAATTTCCGGGTTTTCCCCGAGTAGCTAATTTTAATACGAAAACGTACCACGTTTACCTCGCTGCATCGATCGAAATCTTTTTTAATTAAATCCACTTGTGATGTTCATGAACACAGAAAAATCGCTTAACTACGATGATATTAACGGCTTGTGTAAAAAAACGGAGCAACAGCGCATTTTACAAGTGACTGGAAGCTCTGACGTCTCAACTCCGCTATAATTGAAGCTAAACAAAATAGCCAAATTGTATCAAATTTCAGAGGCTGTCGAGTCTTCAAATCGCGGTTGGTAACAAGTTTTATTATGGATATTGGTAGGCTACTTCAAACTTCCGTTTTTTTAACCATATTAGTCAGTAACGTGAATCCAGTTAGGTGCCACTTTTGAGAAATTTAAAGTCGAATTTGATACGCGTACAAAGCCGTATTTAAACCCGGTGCTTGTTATCGCTAAAGTATGTCATAATCTTTCTGTAAAAGCATCATAAAACAAGACAAGTTTCAAAGTAGAATAATTTTCACGTTGGTGGGTGAAAAAATCATAAAATTTGGTTGAATACTTTTAAAATTATATGTATTTGAATTCGACTAATTTTCATGCCTTTTTTTTGGCAGAGGATTTTCTGCGCGACGGCCCAGGACCGAAAAATCGCTGAAATTTTAAAAATTAATAAAAATTCCAAATTCCAAATAGTGTTTGTTTGTTCTTGGGGTAAATACATTTCGTTGCGAAAGTAACGAAGAATTTCATTTTCTCAGCCGAGAGTTATTGATCGGTTCTTAGAGAGACAGCCTCTTAAGTCAGTGTTGAACGGCGTTATGTTTTGGGGGGTCAGACGCGCCTTCCCATTTTTTTTCAAAACTGCACAATTGCCCCATTTCTGGAATAAAGTGGCTTCTTTCTCGAATGAAAGGCCTGTTCTAACGATTGACCAAATCAATGTAGTTATAAATTTTAGAATAGTATAAAAAAATGTAGGAAATATAGGTCGTATAGCAGCCTGGCTCCCATCAAATTGAGTGGTTAGCGGAAAAAAAATAATTGAAGATTTTGAGACAGTTAAAGAATTATACTTAGCTTCTATATGTTACTGTAAATTGTTTTACTGAAATGAAAACCAAACCTTGGGTTATTGTTGAGGGTCGTAGGTCGAGGGTCAAAAGTCGAGGTCGAGTGTCGAAAGTCGAGGTCGAGGGTCGACAATCAAGGACCGAAAATGGAAAATATTACTTTTTCTATCAAAGTAGCACTATCATTATTTTTTTTCATAATCCAGAAATATAACGCATTCTTGATATTCTAATCAAAAGCAAAATTCTTTCATCTTCCTGACCTTTTTAAGATTCTTATTTGCCAATTTTACAGCCGCCATTAAACGAACCCAATTAAGCGAGAAGGCGTTTTGAAGAGGATGTGACGTCATTCACTCAACACGCCGAATGTTTTTATTGTATTTCACTGCTATTTCAACAATGATGTTTTCTGACAAAGGAGATTCAGAAACTTCAGAAAGTGAACATTCGCATGGGAGCAAAGCGAGCTGTGATGAATAAACGTATACGGTAACTCAAATTCAAACGAAAATAGTGATGAAAAGAAGAAATCAAACCTAGAATTGTTGTTTGTTGACAATGAATGGCTATCTTTGTTTGTTGTTGAAAACATGACCTTTGGCCGGCTTTCGGTCACTATTAATAGTGTAACAACAGTTGATTGGCTTCCTTGTTTTTACAAACTTACTTTTGAAGTTGAAAGTAGGCCTTGTAAGTTATAGCTATAAATAATATTTCAACGCGTGCGTGTCTATTGGCCTATTTCGCTTTTCGCCTAATAGTATGAACGTTCCTCTTTCGAAAGAACATGGTTTGTTCACCATTTGCGCAATTCCCGTGACACACAACGAACTTTGTTTTGTTGGGGATTGCCTCCGTTGTTTCACCCAACAATTCACAAAAGTCCAAGATTTAATAATAAAGTTTAATAAAATCACAATTCACACTCACTTCATCATAAGCTCGTCTTTACATCTATATTATTGTGTATATCACTTAATTTCCCTGTTACTTATTAATTCACTTAGGTTCTATTCACTCGTAGTTTTACCAAGGACACGCTCTCGAAGAAGAGCCAGCCCCAGTCGTCTCTGTGTTTCAAGCGCGGACGGAAGCAGGAAAGGTAGCAAGGGCATTTAGGCGGTGAGCACACGCGCTGGGAAGGGGGAAACCGCCTGCATATTTCCTGCTTCCACCCGCCATCTTTCCTGCTTCCGCCCGCGCTTTAAGCTGAGTAACACAGAGACGACTGGGGATGAGTCAGCTATTAAGTGATGTGAAATTTATTGCTCTGCAACGATTCTGAGGAGAGATATTGGACTCGATGTCGGAGAGTATATCAGATAAGTCGTTAGCCTTCTACTTCTTTTACCCTATGTCGTTCTGTGTCAGTATTGACGACCGTTCAAGTACGACGAAAACGTAAAGCAATCGCATCAATTAGACTCAGAAAGACAACAAATGCATTCTATTAACAAGTTAGATATATTTTTTTACATATATTGTTAATATTTTTTGAATTATTTCGTTATTAAATACTATAACGGTTAAATATTCTGTACAAATATTCAAAATATATAGACCATTCAGAGATTGGGGCGCCTGTTGTTAAACATACAGAAATAGGCCATGTTTTCAACACTCAACAATTCTAGGTTCGGTTTTTTCTTTTCATCACTATTTTCGCTTGAATTTGAGTTACCGTATACGTTTCTTCATCACAGCTCACTTTGCTCCCATGCGAATGTTCACTTTGTGAAGTTTCTGAAACTCCTTTGTCAGTAAACATTGTTGAAATAGTAGTGAAATACAATAAAAACATTCGGCATGTTGAATGAATGACGTCACATCCTCTTCAAAACGGGCGCGTTTAATGGCGGTCGTAAAATTGGCAAATAAGAATCGTAAGTCATGAAGATGAAATAATTTTGCCTTGAATTTTGGTAAGAATATGAAGCATACTATATGTTCCTGGATTATGACGAAAAAAAAATTAATGATAGTGCCACTTTAATTCATTTCTAGAATACTACATTTTTCGCATTTGTTGTCAACATTTGAAAGGTTTTCCTGATAACTAACTTTATTAATGTCAGAACAGAACAATGCCTTAGGGCAGTAATTAGGTTTCTTTTTGTTTTTCGAGAACGTGTAAAATTACTAAAAGTATTCGAGAACGATGGTGATTCGAAAATATACTGTATTTTATTGTACTATCAGAACGAATCGTACCCTGGGTACCAGAGCCTCTTATGAAGTGAGGACACGACGAGGAGGCTCTGATCACACGAGCCTCCAGCCTCACTTTGGTGAGTTCAATATTTGAAATCCGTTTGTGATTGGTCTAAATTTATGTGAGTCCTCTCATTGGTTAACCGACGCGATCCGGTTTGTCTATTACAAAAACCGGTTTTCTCTTTAATGTATCAAATGTTTTATTCTAATTTACATCAATAAATACTTATGGATGTTGAAAAACCACACCCTTTTTAACCCTAATGTTTTGTGACTTGGTCAGGCGAGGCAGGATGGAAAGGCCTGTGGGCCTTCCACGAATGCTTGTTCCTTATCAGGATATTTTCAACGCTCTTTCCAGAACAAGCTATATACGCCACAGGTAGATGCTCCTTTTAGATGCTTCCTCCTTCCACACGCACACACGTTTGGGATATCTCCGCGGCCTTTGTTCCAATTGTGCAAAGTTTGCGGAAAGCAATTATATTTAGATCATTTGCTCTATTTCGTATGAGAATGACTTTTCTGCTAAAACGTTCACAGCAATAGGCTGTTAATATGTAGCAATACATGTACAGGGTGTATAAAAAAACTGAACAGATATGAATTTGCTCTCAATTTCGAAAAACAGCTATTAGTATCCAGTTTTTTATGTATATACCTTCTTTGGGTACTTATAATGTAGAGCAATGAAAAAAATTTCTCGAACTCAAATTTTGTGTACCAGGGGAGTATGTCTTTTCCAACAAACTAAAAATGGCTTGCGCACGGAATTTAAAAGCTTTAATCATATTTTGAGTTAATATATGCAACATTTGTTGGGTTTTTAATTACTGTACAAATTTTCAGAGAATTTGCTTCAGTTTAAGCCCTTTTAACTATTCATTTTTTCCTAAAAAATCAGCCTTTCACATGCTTAATTAATGCCTTTGCCGCCTAATTTGCATATTGCTGACATATGCATATTAGGCAAAGGCATTAAGTCAGGTCTTAAAATGTATATATACTCACTTGGATTACTAACCCTAACATTCTAATATTAATTCCACCAAGTGAAGTGCAAGAAAGTAAATCATTGACGCATGCAAATAGCTGATTCTTAAGAAAAAATGTAAGTTTGCGTGAATAGAAGAGGGCTTAAACTAAGCCAAATTGTCTGAAATTTTGTACAGTAATTAAACACCCAACATATTTTCAGTCTATTGACTCAAAATATGAATAAAATTTTAAATTTCGTGCGCAAGCCATTTTTAGTTTCTTGGAAAAGAGACACCCCCCTGGTTCACAAAATTTGACTTCCAGAATTTTTTTTCATTCTACATTATAAGCACCCAAAGATGGTATATGTACATAAAAAACTGGATATTAATAGCTGTTTTGCGAAATTGAGAGCAATTTCAAATCTGTTCAGTTTTTTTTATACGCCCTGTATAGTGGTGTCTGCTAATTCGTTGTTGTATCCATAGGTACCCTGATTACCGTGGTTACTTGTACATAAATGACGACATGATTGTGAACTGGTGGACATTCCACAAGCTTGATAAGGAGAAATTTTGGTTGGGTGCGAAATTTGTGGTACATGGAGTTCATACCATGTGGAAACGACCACTAATAACCAAATGGAGTTGGTGGAAGTCGTCTGCAAAGCCTTGTGAAGACTCTTACTCAGAAATCATTAAACAATATCGCTCAAGTGAATATATGAATGTCACGAAATTGATAGAAACTCATCTTGCAAATGGCGAAGGAGTAAAGCGTTGTTTCAACACGTGGTCAGATCTATTTTATGTACCCAAGAAGTTCACTGATCAGTGGCAGCGGATCTCTACTGTGTTTCATAAAAATCGAGTATTTTTGGAAGTTTCAGTGCCGACCATTATGAGTTTCATAGACTTACAAAGTTCATGGGAATTTCATTTGGGGTTGTATCTACCGGACAAATATGGCTGGCGTAAGTTTCATGATGGAAAATTAGTTTGGGAAAATTATAATTATACTATTAAATTTATGCATCCTGTTAAATATCATGCGGCCGTATCCAAAATTAACGTAGAAAAGTTAAAGAATGACGTAATTCCTTATTCTAAACGGTTCTTAAAATGTTAGAAATATTCTAAAGAGAAGGTCGAGACTTTTGGGCATTTTGTTCAATGAAACTTACAGTAGACATCTTTTTCTTGTAGAATGATGGAATGTTCGAACGCAAATGTATACTGAAATCATATGTTTTTAATCCCAACCAGTAGCAAATACGTACAAAATTAAAGATGCTCTGACACACTGATTTTGGTCACCAAATCTTTCAGCATCGCGTTTAAAAACGAACTGTGGTTAAATACTGATCGTAATGCAAGCCACAGATTCATGAAATTAGAAACTCGTGTTATGTTAAACCAAAATGTCCAAGCCTGTAATTGTTTATGCATCAATTAGAAGATCTTGGTTAACATATATCACGTTTCTATTTTCATGATTCATGAATTTGTTGCGTAGACTATGATATATTTAATAATTAAACTCGGTTCGTCTTCAAAATTCAAACGCCCATGTTGAAAGATTTAGTGGCCAAAATCAGTGTGTCGCAGCATCTTTTTGTAGCGTATTTTACAAATTGAAGCCTCAGAGGTTGAAAATCTTTCTTGGAAAAGTAACACTGAGAGTATATGTAGTAAAATATCATCTGGGATATATGCCCTCAAAGAAATTAAAACGTTTGTTGATATTAAAACACTCATATCGGTATACAATGCTTTGATCCAACCCTATTTCAGTTATTGTTGTGATGTATGGGATGTATTTGGCGAAACCCAATCTAAACGTCTGCAAAAGCTTCAAAACAGAGCAGCTCGCATCATAGCAAGTGTACCGAACGATGTTGATCAGCAAACTGTATTGGATTTATTAGGATGGAAAACATTAAAAGAACAACGATTAAAAACTAAAGCGATAACGATGTTTAAGATATTTCATAATATGGGGCCAAATTGCCTCAAAGACTTATTCATTTTCAAAAAAAATGAAATATTAAATCATAATCTCCGTGACAGCTCAACCACATTACGGTTGCCAAAGCCACGTTCGAACAGTTTAAAAAAGAGTTTCATGTATGACGGACCTGTCATATGGAACTCTTTGCCAGAAATTATTAGAGAAAGCAAAACGCTATCAATTTTCGAAAGGAAAATCGGTACCCATTGTTATTAAAGCATGAATGTAAATAGTAAATTAACGTATATCATATAGTATATTTTCTTTTTCACATACAGTGTATATGCATGTAATTTCTTACTACCTTTATCTTTTTTTCTTGTAAATTTACTTTTGTTCACACGCCCATTGTGGAAACCAGCTTTAGCTGACAATGTTAGCGTGGTTAAATAAAGTTTATCATCATAATCAGGTGCTAACGTCGTCAAACTTGACTTTTACTCTTTTCACGTGAGGACTGGGTTCAAGTCACATTGGGAAAGTTCTCACTGGAATATGAACCTGCGACCTTAAGGCCCTTTTCCATTGCAGTCGCTTTGCCCGTGCGGGCGGAGCGACCAATTTTAATCACGTGAAAAATCAGTCGCCCGGGCACGCCAAGAAAGTTGAATGTAGTTCTGCTTTCATGGCGTGTCCGCGAGCATTCAGGCGGACAAAAAATGCACAGGTTAGGCAACTACAGAGAAAGTTGAGTAATGTTCGCTCCGCCCGTGCGGGCAAAGCGACTGCAATGGAAAATGGCCTTTAGAGGTGAAAATTAAGCAAGTGCTCTAACCACTTCGCTACCGAAGCCCCGTTTTTCTAAATTGTTGTAAAGATAAAATAATCTAGGCTAAGTATGTAATTAGGTAAGCCATAGCCTATCGTTATTTTTATAATGTTTTGCTATCACGTGATCGTAAGCCTGCATGAAAAACATGATATAAGTTTTCACAAAGTGTTCCATATTGTATTGCTTTGTTTTATTCCATTGAAAAATGCTATGCCAGGCGGAAATTGCAGCTTGTACGGATGTTCCAATAGCAGAAAGAATCCAAAAATCTTCGGAAAAGCTTCCCATTGGTCAATCTCGTTAACGGAAGTAACTACGTAACTCAAATGTCAACAATAATTTTGCTCGCTTATCGAATAGCGATAGCCGTATATTTCTCATAAAAATATGCCTGTTAATGCTTTGGAGCTAACTCTTTCTTATATTTCAAGTATTTAGGCTTCGAAATTCAGTTGAAACCAGAACAGAGACAGTCTATTATTAATTTGCTATGTGGTGAAGACGCCGGTTATCGCGATTCTTCCTACGGGATACGGAAAAGTTTGATCTTTCAAATTCAATTATATATTTATATCGGCAAATTAAAGCTTGCTACATGCTATTTTAATAGCTTTGATGCCAGCACGAGCAGGGATTGAATATTTCTTATAGTTGTCTTGTTATTTGTCGTGACATTACTTGGCATTGCAGCTATGAAGTTGGATGATGATTTCAAGAATAACATTTCAAAACACGCTCAACTGTTATTTGGTTCAGGAGCCTTTTAAAGGATAAAAGCTCTGTGTTGGGACTGTTGTCTAAAATAGCTTAAAAAAGTCATTAATAATTCATGAGGAAAACGCAAAGAAAAATCATAAACGTGTCGTATCTTTATATGTGATAGCAGACCCATCCCCAGTCGTTATTTGAATTTCAATTTTATAGGGACGAATAGTTATATATATATATATATATATATATATATATATATATATATATATATATATATATATATATATATATATATATATATATATATATATATATAACATATATATATATATATATATATATATATATATATATATATATATATATATATATATATATATATATATATACGACAATGAGCAAAACTTGCCTTAGCCAACAGCACATAATATTACGACAAAGAGATGGCTACGTATCGAAGAATTTATTAAAGATAAAGTAAAGTATACAAATAAATTTTCGGCCACTCGACACGGCCTTCCTCAGAATAAAAACTAAGTTACAGCACATGGCATTTATACTATTTAGCATGCTAAGTAATTAACCTAATCCTATTGTTGTACAAAATCATGCGTAGAGTTAAGTCCTCTTTGATTAGTCAATAGCATACCAATCCAAAAATTTTCACATTCCTTAGGTTGCCCTGGCGCCGATCAATTAGCATGAATTTCAACAATGAATAATCAGCACCATGACAATCCAGAAAATGGTTAACAATACCACAGGTTAAGTACCAAAGGTGGACGCGCGCAAGGGGAAAAGGGAAGGCGAGGGAAAAAATAACGACTGGCAGATTACAGAGACAAAATGGCGGACAATTTGACAGCAAAAGAGGAAAGACTATTTTAATATACACCACAGAGCGTTTTTAGCTGATAAACTCCCTTGTCCGCATGAGGAATGTCAGTATAATTTATCTTGCTATGATCAAGATGGTTTAGACCACCATTACAGGACAATCCATAAATGTCCTGTAACCTGTTATTTCAGGCTTTCAGCTGATATTAAGTTTTAAAAGGCGAAAAGTCTTATTGTGCCAGAGAACTGAGAGAAGCACTCAAAGGAAACACTGTCATGTTTGGAAAAGCTATCGATTAACAACCAATCGAAGGTATTCGTAAATCTAGAGTGTTGAATGCCTTTAATTGGAGCCAGCGAGCAATATAAAAACAGGTAGGTATTTTATTCAATTTTATTTATGCGTTTATATCTTTATATTTCACGATGAAATGCACTCTTAAACTCTTTGGATTATAAAGAAAACAGCTTTTTGCTGGGGTTTTTTTTTGCAACCTGTGTATTTCACAATTTGGTTGCTGAAACTACAAATTTTTGTTATTTATAAATTACTTTATAAAGTGCTATTAACTCCAGGTTTTGTGTAATATGATTATGTGCCAACTTAAAACTTTGCATACAAGGCTATTAAATCAATGACAAGACTTTTGGAGCATTCAAATATTTCCCAAAATACCTGTAAAATAACAAAATATACCCCCCCCCCCTAACTAAATGTTACTGTATGATGAAAAGACGTTACATTGGCCATTAACAACACATTGTTGGGGGCAATGGGGGGCACAGGGTTGTAGGGATAATATAGAAGCTCAGGTGGCACATAACTCCTATCATAGCCTTAATTAAACAATTTGGAAAACCAGAAATACTGTATCAATGCACTGGGG